GAGAGAGAGAGAGAGAGAGAGAGAGAGAGAGAGAGAGAGAGAGAAACCAGGATAAGATATAGTCCTCAAAGACATGCCCACAGTGACCTACTTCCTCCACCATGTGCTACTTGCCTACAGTTTATACCACCTCCCAGGAGTTCATTCAGCTATCAATGGATTAATCCAATTATGAGGTCACAGCCATAATGATTCAATCATTTCCTAAAAGTCCCACCTCTGAAAATTGTCATTGCTGCATTAGGGACCAAACCTTTAACACATGGGCTTTTGGAGGACATTCTAGATCCAAACCATAATGTATTCCCTGCCCCCACACATGCACAGCCTACCCATTACCACCTGCCTCACCAGAGTGTAGTATTTGTTACAGTTGATGAACCTACATTAATACATTATAATGACCCAAAGTTCATAGTTTACATTAGGATTTTCTTTTGGTGTTGTATATTCTAAGGGTTTGGACAAGTGTATGATGTTATGTATCCACAATTATAGTATCACGTGGAGTGTTTTCAGACACCAAAAGTCCTCTGTGCTCTACCTATTTATCTCCTATCCCCAATCCCTGGAAACCCCTGATTTTGAGTCTCTTCATAACTTACTTTTTCCAGGATGTCATATAGTTGGAATCAAACAATATGTAACCTTTAGAGATTAGGGTTTTTCATTAACAGCATTGCTGAAATCTATCAGGTTTCTGCTAATAGTCTTCTTGAGCCCTGTATTAGTGTGTTTTCCAGTGCTATAACAAAATTCCCACATAAAAGAGATTTATTTAGCTCAAAGCTTTGGAGGCAAAAAAATCAAGGTCAGGTAGCTCTATCTATGGGGGCTTCATGGCAGTTGCATCATGGTGGGGTTATATATAAAAGCGAGAGATAACATGGTGAAACAAGAAGCCGGAGAGAGACTTGGGGATACGGCTGATCCTTTATAACAATTCACTTTTGTGGGAACTAACCAGAGTCTCAAGAGAACTATACTAATCCCTTCCTCCCGAAGGCATCATCCCCAATTACCTAACCAGGCTTTACCCCTTAAAGGTTCTACCACCTCTTAATACTGCCATGGTGGGGGTCAACCCTCCATTGCATGAACCTTTGTGGGGCAAAGCACATCTAAACCATAGCAAGGCCCTTCCAGCTTTTGACCCAAAAGTAATAGCAATGTTTTAGGTAGCATCTTAGTTTTGGGATCTTGTGGGTAAAGTGGCTATGAAGATGCACGTACAAGTCCTTTTGAAGAAAAGTATTTTCATTTATCTTTAGAAAATACTTTTTAATATGGTCAATGTAAGTGTCCCAGTTAACTCTTGCTGTATAACAAAACTTCAGAAGCAACTTGGCAACTGAAAAGCAAGCAACCAACAAATCAGCAAATACATTTAATTTTGGAAGATTTCATGGTCTAGAAATTTGGAAATGACTCAGTTTGGCAGTTGTCTGTTGTGGTCTTTCATGAGGTTGCACTTAGATGTCACCTGGGGTAAAGGTCATCCAAAGACCTGGGAGTGTAAGCTGGATTGCCCACATGGTGACAATTGGAAGTTCAACTTGACCAGATGTCCTTTCTAGCAAGATAGTCTCAACAGAGCCAGATTCCCCCTAGAGAAACTGTCGTAATTAAGCCAGGAGGTGGCTGTACAACTTACCAGCCCTTTAAGTAAAACAGTGTTACCACAAATACATTCTGTTGCTTACAAGCAGCTCACTAAGGTCAGGTAAAATTCAAGGAAAAAGAGGAATAGACTCCAATTCTCAATGAATGCAGTATCACAAATTTTTTGGATGTATTTAAAAACAAATCACTGTAGGTCTATTAAATATTCCACACAGTAATTGCAGTATTTCTAATTTCCATTTAAAAAATACATAATATAATTGTGACATTATGCATTTAGGACTTAATGAGCTTTATTCTGTATATTTTCTCCTGATCCTTCATTTTCCTATTTCTATCTTGTGCTGATTTCATGTGTTTCAATACCCATCCTTTGAGTTCTAATTTGAGGTATTGTCTTTTTCAGCTCTACAGATTTTCATTCTTATATATTTTTTTCTGCCCAAATTTAAGCTTGTCATTTAATTCCTTGAATATTTTAATCATGGTCACTTAGGTAACTCCACTACCTGAGTGCTTTGAGAGTTTCTTTATAATGCCTCATCCCCTGCCCCCTTTTTTTGTACCAGGGATTTGAAACTGGACTGCTTAACCACTGAGCCACATTCCCACACCATTTTTTGTTTTGTTTTTGGTACTGGGGATTGAACTCAGGTGCACTTGACCACTGAGCCACATCGCCAGCTCTTTTTTGTATTTTATTTAGAGACAGGGTCTCACTGAGTTGCTTAACACCTTGCTTTTGCTGAGGCTGGCTTAGACATCCTTCTGCCTCAGCAACCAGAGCCCATGGAATTACAGGTATGCATCACCTTGCCTGGCCCCAGGCCTTTCTATTTTTTATTTGAGACAGGGTCTTGCTAAGTTCTTAGGGCCTCGCCAAGTTGCTGAGACTGCCTTTGAACTATCGATCTTTCTGCCTCAGCCTTCTGAGTCATTGGGGTTACAGGGGTGCACCATCATGCTGGGTCCCCTCTTGGTTTTTGAGAAGTCTCTTATGTCTGGGTATTTTTTTGTTCATAAAATTTATTATAATTGAAAAGAACACCCCAGGTCTATTTCGTTTTTGAAAATTTTAATGAATAAGTTATAATTGTATATATTTATAGAATACAGTGTGGTATTTTGACATTAGACACTATACTTATGAATAATTTAAATCAACTAATTATATCTATTACCTCATCGTATTTTTTGTGTGAGAACACTTAAGATCTATTTTTAAACCAATTTTGATTTATACAATTCATAACTATTAGCTATAGTCACTGTGCTAAACAATGAATTATGAGAATTTATTCCTCTCTTTTATCTGAAATTTTGTATCCTTAGACCAACATCTTTCCTTTCCCCATTTTTATCTATTCTCCAAGTGTAGTGTGACCAAGATGCTACTAAGTTTCTGTGAGTTCCACATTTTAAGAGATGCTTGAATAGTTTTAATTGGCAGACATAAAATTGTAGAAGTCCTTTCAAAAAGACTGCATTTGCTTCTTCCTTATTTAGCGGTTGTTAACCTTATTTTAAAGGATGTGAAGTAATTAGAAGTGGATACTGTTCTTCATGAGGATACCTCTATTTTTAGTTCATGCTTCCTTTCATGGTACCCATTTTTCTGTTAACAGGGCCCTCCTCTTTGGTTAACTCTCAATTAAACTTGTGTACTTCAGTCCTGTGAATCTGGCAGAACTTCTGCTGGGATGTTCAGCATCACAGTTGTTACTCCTGAATGGTCAAATGCCTCAGGGAAAAATGGCTCATCCAAGTCCTTTACTTATCTCTGAACTTGTCTCCAAATTTTTTGTTGCCTTGAGAGCTCTATAATGCTTTCAATGAGCATCGATTTAGTTCCACTTTGCTAACATTATTCTTAGTGTTAACTCAAAACAGAAAAGTCTGTCAGAGGAGAAGTAGAAATCTCCATTAGAAAATTAGCTCTGAAGATATGAAATGATTGCTCCTTAGAGCTTTCATCTCAGATGCCATCACTAGATTATCATCTAGTTTAATTCAGTTTCCTGCTTTCTAACCCTTTCCGTAGGAAACCAGACCCAGCTGCTGCCCCAGTGCAACGACTCCTGGTCTGACCCAGCAGGCTCTGCAGCCTCAGAGGGCCACACTGCCAACTGCTCAGGTGAGTAAGACCCCAGCACCTGAGCCTTCCCATTCCCTGTGTAAATGCCCACTGATATGACCCTGTCTCTCCTCAGATAGCAGACAGCTCCGTCTGGTGGATGGGGGCAGTCGCTGTGCAGGGAGAGTGGAGATCCTGCAGCAGGGCTCCTGGGGCTCCATCTGTGATGACAGCTGGGACCTGAGTGATGCCCATGTGGTGTGCAGACAGCTGGGCTGTGGAGTGGCCCTGGAGGCCACCATCTCTGCTCACTTTGGAGAGGGATCAGGGCCCATCTGGCTGGATGAGCTGAACTGCACAGGAGAGGAGGCCCATGTGTGGCAGTGCCCTTCCCAGGGCTGGGGGCAGCACAACTGCAGGCACAAGGAGGATGCAGGGGTCATCTGCTCAGGTCTGTGGTGCACACTGTGCACAGGCTGAGAGGTCTGGGAGGGTCTGCAGGGTGGTGACTGAGCCCTACTTCAGGGTGTGGGAATTACTGACAGGTCTCAGGGGGAGGAGGCCCCTCCCACAGTGCCTGTCTTTCCAGCAGAGAAGATGAGGTGTTTTCATTTCCTGCTGCAGCAGCTGAGCTTCTGCTGACACAGTCATTCTCTACAGTGTCCATTTGAAAGCAGATCTCATGCTTCAGTCACATGTGGGTGCAAAATCTGTCTAAAATCCACTGGATTATTTCCCCACTGTTATTGTTACAAATTACTACAGAGTTAGAGGCTTAAACCCACCCTAGTTATCTTAGATTAGATTAGAAATCCAACCCAGGTCTGCCTGGGCTAAAAACGAAGTGTCAGTAGGTTGCATTTCTTTGAGGCTCTGGGAAGACTCATTTCCCAGCCTTTTCCAATTTCTAAGAAGCTGTCTGCATTCCTTGGCTAATGGCCCTTTCTTAATTTTTTCAAACCAATCACTTTGCAACTGTGTGACCATTCTTCCATTGTCATGTTCCTTCTGACTATGGCCAAAAGAGGTTATTTGTTTTTAAGGGTACAGGTGTAGGGATGTGATCACATGTTTAATCCAGATAATTTGGTATGATCTCATAATGAAAAGATCCTTATCTTAACCCTCTCTTCAAAGCCCCTTTGCCCCATGAGGCAACCAGGATTAGGATATTCACAGGCTTCTAGGATGAGGAAGTGAATGTTTGGGGCTCCACTATTCTGCCACCTCACTGTCCACGCTGCCTTTCTTAGGGTATGTCACATATGGACCCAGGAAACAGGATTCAGCTTTTCCTCTTTGCAGAGCACCTAGGTCCATGTTCCCGCTTGTCCATTTTTTCACTGCATCATTAAGGTAGAAATAGAAAAATGGGTACAAGCTGGCAAAATCAGATAAAGGAAGAAGAATTTCATTATTTTCCATGGGTTCTTTCTCAGCAGCATCAGCATTGTGTGTTCACTATCTTTGAGATAGGAAGAAAAACAAAAACAAAACCAAAAAAAAAAAAAAAACAGAAAGACCAAAACATGAAGAGTTGAATGCTCACTGAGCTCTGATGTTTCCCTTCCCATTTCAGAGTTCATGGCCCTCAGGCTGGTGAGCGAGGACCAGGAGTGTGCTGGGTGGCTGGAGGTTTTCTACAACAACACCTGGGGCAGTGTCTGCCACAGCCCCATGGAAGCTGTGACCTTGTCTGTGATCTGCAGACAGCTTGGCTGTGGGGACAGTGGGACTCTGGATTTCTTGGTTCCTCTCAGGGAAGGTTCTAGATCCCGCTGGGTGGATGGAATTCACTGTCGGAAAACTGATATCTCTCTCTGGCAGTGTCCTTCTGACCCCTGGAAACAGAGATCTTGCTCTCCAAAGGAGGAAGCACATATCACATGTGCAGGTGACCTACTGTCTGTTTCTGTGTTTGTCCCATCCCTGCAGGTTACTGAAGGTATTTGGTGATAATTTTATTCAACTAAAGAAACTGGGGTCAGGAGACATTAAATACATACCAACAACTTTAAGTTAGGATGAGTTTTGGGAATTAAATTCCACCTTGGTCCAGCTCTTAAACCTGTGGTCATTTACTCTGAAATGTGTCTATACCAGTCAGACAACTGCTCAGGTCAGTCTGTTGGCAGAAAATAGTTGAGAGTTCTGTGGGTAGAGACTTAATTCCAGGCCAGAGAACAGAGAAGAGAAGAAACCATAGCTACTGCCCTCGTAGAGTTTATACTCCAGTGCTGGCAACACTTATTACACAGAAATCTGTGTGTCATGAAGAAGTGGAAGATGCTGGACCAGAGGTAGAGACCACTCTTAGGCAGACCCCACTGCCCGCCCTCCAGTGACCATCCCGTTGAAGAGGCATTTGTTTGTTTTTGTCTGCTGCATCACAGGGAACTCCTGAGTGGTCAAGGGGCCCCCATATAATACTGATTGCATCTATGTCTTCTCAGAATTCCAATCAGCTGGTAGCTGTAGACAGGTGAGGTGTATCTGGAGGAGGTACATGCCCCTGAAGTAATGCCCCTGGAGACTATGTCTTATCTCCTCTATTATATGCTAAGTAGCACCTATCTCCCCCATACCCTTCCACCATGATATTTCTGTCTTGAGCTGGCTCAACTTCAATTGAATCCTCTTACACTGTGAACAAAAATAAACCTTTCCTCCTCTAAGTTGTTTTTGTCAGGTATGCAAGTACAAAGTGATGCAAAGCTTATAATACATCCATCAATGTACCTAAGGGCTTGATTCCTGATATCTTGAGAAGCACACAAATGAGTATTCTTTTTCGACCTCACTTCCTTCTCCAGCTGCTGCCCTCTTTATCCCTCTGCCTTCCTCTCCACAACCCACATATTTACCAGTATTGCCCATAGTCTCTGTCTGGGTCTACTGTGCTGAACTCATTTAAGTTAGGTTTTAGATCTCATCACTCCTCAGAAGTGGTAAAAAAAAAAAAAGGAATCTAAAAAATAGGCCTGAGTTTGTTTCATATATATATATATTTTACAGAGAGAGAGAGAGAGAGAGAGAGAGAGAGAGAGAGAGAGAGAGAGATTTTTTAATATTTATTTTTCAGTTTTCAGCGGACACAACATCTTTGTTTTTATGTGGTGCTGAGGATCGAACCTGAGCTGCACGCATGCCAGGCGAGTGCGCTACCGCTTGAGCCACATCCCCAGCCCTGTTATATTGTTCTTGACATCTTAGCAGCATTGTCTTTCCTTCTCAAAATTATTATTTTTTTTTTGCTTTTTCTACTCTACCTCATTAAGTTCATATGCTGTAACTCCTTAGCTCAGATTCTAGATTTTAGACACTCTAAGGGATTTGTATAAGATCTCTACTTTTTCTTAGTTGTGCTTTCATCCTGAGCCAATGGACTTATATGACATCTATATGCCAACATTTCCTAAATATGTACCTCTATAGCTTAGCTCTGCCTATACTAAAAATTCTTGTATTCAATTTTTGCATGACATCTTCACTTGTATATATAATAGGCAACACAAATTTAACCTCTAAAAAAGAATGCTTGATTCCACCCTTCTATGCTTGCTCCTAACCCTTTCTACCTGCTATATTCTCCATTGCAATAAATGTTACTATCATTGTCCAGTCACTTAAGATCAATACATAGTAGTCAACCTCATTTCTTCATTTCCCTTTTCCTTCACATCTCATATAATAGCAAACTCTGTTGCTTCTATCCTCAAGTATATCCTTAATCCTTGTACTCCTTCCATGTCATTGTCAGTCCAGGGAAGATCATCTGTTGCCTAGATTAAACAAGTGTCTCTGGTGATCACCTACTTCCAATCTCTTTCTTCTATAATTGATTGTCAACCAGAGGTGTTTTAAAAATTAGTATCATTTTCTCCTTGATTATAAGCCTCCTTTCAGTTGAGCTTAATATAAAATCCAGAACACTTATCCTCTTTTTAAAAAAATATTTGCTTTCAGTTTTTGGTGAACACAGCATCTTTATTTTATTTCTATGTGGTGCTGAGGATCAAACCTAGCACCCCGCGCATGCCAGGTGAGCACGTTACTGCTTGAGCCACATCCCTAGCCCTATGCTTATCCTCTTGACAAGGTCCTTAAGACCTGTTCTGCAGCTTTCCTCTCCTGTTACTCTTCCACTCATGTACATATTGACTGTCTTTGTTTCATTGAAGAGGACAGTGGGTTTTTAAAAAAACAAAACAAAACTGTATTGTTTTGTTTATTCCCCAGGAAACTTTCTTTCTAATGTGTTCTCTTCTTAGGGCCTTTGCACTATCTGTCTTCTTTGCTAAATATTCTGGAAAATTTTGAAGAAAAGTTGGATAATTAAATATGTCAAAATCTGTTGCAGCCATAAAGTAAATAAAAACAGAAAAGTGCCCATTAGATTAGGTGATTAGGTAATTGTATGCCACTGAGCATCTTAGTGAGAACACATTTTAGAGTGGAGAGTTTGAATGGGGTCAAACCAGAAATAAAAGTACCAAAGAATACTAAGTAGATGAAAACTGTACAAAGTCCTTTTGAAAAGCAGACTATGAGGTGAAAGAGTGAGAAATATGGTGCTGGAAATAGATTTATTTGAATACCAAGTAGATTAATGTGTTGATGTGGGTTGGGTGAGTTGCCTTTAAAAATAACACTGGCACATTTCATTGTGTGTCCCAGGTGCAAAAACAACTAGAAACCGAAATGCCAGGGAAGCTGTGGTCAGCATATTGTGCTTAGACRTTGAAGGACTTCGTCAGGGAAGAGGGAGGAGATTGTTCATGAGATGTTCCAGGGGAAACAGTTGTAACTGATGCATCGAAATTGCAAGGGGGGCATACTTGGGTTTACTCTAAGAATAAATAACAGAAGAACCTCACTCCTGTGAGGTCCACAAGGAAGGGATGGCCAACCCATATCCTCTTACACCTTCCCATCTTTCTCTTCTTCCCCAAATAGGCCACACTTGCCTTTGCTGGTTTTGTGCATAGAGGTTTGTGCAAGGAGATTTATGTTCCCGCCAGTTTGTATTAGGCTTAGAGAGAAACCATTTCCTTTCTATTTTACTTAAGTTACAAAAACATTATTTATTCATTATAAGCAAGAAAGACATGTAAAAATGTAAAAGGATAACTTAGTCATATCACATCATCCTTTGTCTATTAATATTACCCTGAAGTAAATAGGATAAATGAACTGGTAAGTACCATTTCCTTCATTTTCACGGAGAATAAATTATCAAAATTGTCAGCAACTCCTACCATATCATTTAAGATAAAAATGAATGAATTGTGAGAATTGTCCAAATATGCAGCTAGGAAGAATGTGATGATAAATACTTGAGAGGCAGAAGTTTATATTCTCTTCTGTCTCTCTTTCCTCACCCCCACCCCCAGCCTTTTTCCTATGGCAGCTAAAGAGATATTAAGCAGTAAAACTGTATACTAAATAATTTTTTCTGAAATAAGACATTATGAAATGAGAGGTAGGCATGTCTACCATCCTGAAGGTGATCAACCACTCAAGAGAAGTCCTGCCTTCGTTTTCAGAGATGTTCCTGCATAAGACAGATGTGACAGGATAAAAGGACAATAATATATATCAATACTGGTTTTTAATAACGAGTGCCATGTAGACATTTATTTTCTTGGTATTATTTTGCATGTATATGTACTTCTTTTGGTTTCAATTTTTTTAATAATTTTTTGTTTCTATGTTATCTCTGTGAACTCTCATGTATTATTTTTTCCTTAATATATTTATTTGAGTTTTGTGCATATATTTATATATTTTGTTCTTACCGGCTAGCTATTGTTCTACTGTTTTTTACCTGATTTTTTTTTGTACCAAGAATTGAACCTATGGAATGCTAAACTATTGAGCCATATCCCCAGTCCTTTTTTTTTTTTTTTTTTTTTTTGGTACTGAGGATTGAACTCAAGGGCACTTGACTACTGAGTCACAGCCCCAGCCCTATTTTTTTTTAAGAGACAAGTCTCACTGAGTTGCTCAGCAACTTGCTGTTGCTGAGGTTGGCTTTGAACTCACCATCCTCCTGCCTCAGCCTCCCAAGCCACTGGGATTACAGGCGTGCGCCATTGTCCCCGGCCCTAGTCCTTTTTATTTTTGTTTTGAGACAGGGTCTCTTTAAGTTGCTGAGACTGGTTTGGACTTGGAATTTTCTTGCCTTAGTCTCCTGAATTGCTGGGATTACAGGTATGTGCCACCATGCCTGGCGCTCTATTACTTTTATAAAATAGAAATCTTTTATTCTTTTGATCTGTTTTACAATTTTCTATTTAAAATTAAGTGTAACATTAAACACAAATTACTTTTGTGATCATGCATTAATTATATTTTTAATGCCCAATATTTATTACTACAAGTTATTGACATCAATTTGTATTTTATTTATTACCTTACTGATTAGCAAGAATGTAAAGGAATTGCTTTTTAGCAGAATAAGAGTTCTTGAATAAATGGAGAATAAAATTTGTCCATTCAATAAATATTTATCAAGTCCCTATTCATAACATTCATAGAAGATTCTCTACATATATGTGGATGTGCCAGACACTGTCTTGATAGTAGGATCAGCAGGAATGACAAGGCAAAGTCTGGTGGAGTTTGCATTGTGGGGAATGAGTGAGAGAGGGCGAGTACAAGACAGCACGTTTGTATTTATGTTTGTTTAGAAAATGGGGAGAGTGAAAAAATGGAAACTGATAAAAATAATTTCAGCTGCTGATAGGGATATGCTCCAGGAAATGTCTTGGTAACGCAGGACCTTAGACTGCGTGTGAAGCCTGGTATCTCCACCTGTCACTTGATCTGAGCCCAGGACTTTCAAGAACCTTGTCCTGGACAGGACTACTCCAGTTGACCCTGACTGGTGTGTCCTCACTGTCTGCTCCTGCAGGAAACAGACCCAAGAGCTGTCCAGCCACTGCGCCCTGCACAGGTACCTCATCCCCTTCCACCTTCCCCATGGCTTCCAGGGGCTCCTTTCCTCCCACCAGGGCAGTAAGAGGAGGTGCTGCTGCCTTTTCAGACAAAGAGAAGCTCCTACTCAGGGGAGGAGACAGCGAGTGCTCAGGGCGAGTGGAGGTTTGGCATGAAGGCGCCTGGGGCACTGTGTGCGATGACTCCTGGAGCCTGGCAGAGGCTGAGGTGGTGTGTCAGCAGCTGGGCTGTGGCTCTGCCCTGGAAGCCCCAGGGGAAGCTGAATTTGGCCCTGGAAATGAAAGCATCTGGCTGGACGAGGTGCAGTGCAGGGGCAGGGAGCCCTCCCTGTGGGCCTGTGCTGCAGCACCCTGGGGACAGAGTGACTGCAAGCATGAGGAGGACGCTGGTGTGAGGTGTTCTGGTGAGTAGCAGGACGAGGAGGGGGGGACAGGGTTGAAGTGTGTTTGCATCCAAAGGGCTTCCAAGGCTACTTTACTACCCTGAGCTCTGGCTGTGGAAGGCTGTGCCTAATCTCCTGGCTTCTGGGACGGAACCATGTGCCAGAGGTAGTGGGTGGACCCAGTGACATTCCCAGAACCATTTCAGTGATCTCATTTTCCTTCTTTTCAGGTGAAAGAACTAGAGTTTCTCCCAAATCTAGAAGTGGTTCTTCTGCTCCGACCCATGTGATAAGGGAGACATATTTTCAGAGTCCTGCACTATGAAGTCTACACATTTTTGAGAAAATTATAGTAGACCTGATGATCAGGGTTAGAACAGGCCATACAGTTTATTAAATTGTAGTAGCCAAGGGCTCCAAAGCCTCACCAATGTTCACTTTACAGAAATTCCTTAAAACCAAACTCAGAAGATCATTGACATAGCTCAGAGCAGGATCTTAACATCTTGGGGTTCAGGCAGATCCATTGTATCTGAGTTAGGCACTTCATGGTCCTGAAGAATCAAGGGATGGCCAGGGTAATTGGATTCTCCTGGGCTTATGGTCTTCTCCAAAGACTCATGATCCTTTACCTCCTCAGGTACCAGTTCAGTCTCAACCCCTGTCCCTGGTATCTCCTCCTTACCTGGAATCCTTTGCATCATCCTGGGAGCCCTTCTCTTTCTGGTCCTTATCATCCTTGGGATTCAGCTGCATAGATGGAGAACAGAGTGCCCAGGTAGGAATTAGGGATGTTGTGACCTGGAAAGTATTCAGGGAGAATGGTGGAACTGTTGTGGTTCCTTCAAAAGTATGTTTGAGTCTCCATTCTTATTATTTGGAAAACTGCTTTACATACTTCAGCATTTAAAGCACTGGAATCCTTGGTCCTGGGTTGAATATGGAAACTCTGAAAAATAATGGCTTCTTGTATGGACCATGTCAGTGGAGATTGAGTATAGAATCCAGGTAGAGTCAGGACCCATAGTTTGAACTAACAGAGCAGAAGCTAAAGAAAGGGACTCTGGTAGCCCAGAGGAGTGTCTCCAACAGGTTTTTCTGTTGGTAAGGGAATCACCTCCAGGAGCAATCTCTGAACTCATTCTGCTTTCCCCAGACTTATCTACTTTTGAAGATGCTGTTGATGAGGCCCTGTACCAGGAGATAGATTACCTCATGAATCCAGAGAATGAGGACCTGCAGGACAGCCCAGGTGTGTTCCCTACCCTCCTTTCTGTTCACGAGTTGGTCATGGGTATGGCCGTCTTCAGGGAGCACAGGCCCCGTCACTACCCAACCTATATGTCCATCCTCCTCCTAAGGCAGGAGCTCCAAGCCCTCTCTCTACAAGTCTAAAGCTTCCATATTTCTTCCGAACCATGACGTGTGTGTTTGCCTGTGATGTTTTTCTCTCTACCAGGAAATCTGTCTGAAGACTCAGCGACTAAGCTGTCATATTACACAGAGCACCATGAGGAGAATGGAGAGCCTGAATCTGCCCCAGGTACTAGAGACAGGTGTTCCCTTGAGTGGTGGGGTGAGGAGGAGGTTATGATGTGAGAAGAACATCCTCCTGTGATTAGGATGGAAAAGATATCTTCTGTCCAATTAACAACTATTTTTCTTCCTCTCTGACCACTCTGTCACCTCAGCAAGGGAAAGCTCAGGTGCAGTTCTCTCAATATCCAAAGCTACTTCTATGGGATCATAGACATATATCAAATGTATTATTGTAAATTCAAGGGCTATATTTAAAAGAATAGCATCTGAACCTGATCCTATAAAAAATTCCATGGTGAGAGAAAACACTGGAAGTATGATATTGACCCTGAGATATAGTAACATATGAATAATTTTGTGGCTTATGTGAATATTGAGACAAAAAATGGATTATTCCTGGATACATAGAATGTGTAGTGCCTATATTTATCAACTACCAGGATCTCTTTTCTATAGCCAAAAATGTCCACTCTAGACCTTTCCCCAAGTGGTAAATGTGGACAGCTCTTGGAATGAGGCATGTTCAGGACAGCTCTGTGGAGATGGGAGCCTAAGGCCAGCAGAGCACTTAGGTGTATTGAAAACCCAGGCCTCCTGTGATTGGGATTGGTGGGATTACTTGTATGTGCAATGGCTTAAAGCCATGCTTCCCTTTATCTCCTCCTGCCTCTGATGGCACATGAACAGCCTGGGTTCTCTTGGTTCTGATTCATTGCCTGTAATTACAGATGTGTACATATTATGTGTTTCGACTCTGGGCCATGTGCCAGAAAATAGTACCTGACACTTGTAGTACAATAACTTTTGTTGATGTTTTTTGATATGAAACACCATTTTAGGAAAATGTTATTGATCCTAATATATTGGAATATTTAGAACATTTACAGGGTTTTTAAAAATATTGAGACCAAATGTATCTTTTGGGACAGCCTTGGTATATGTTGCCTATATTAGCTACTAAAATCTCAGCTTTAGAACATACTTAAGGCATCACCTAGTCCAATGCATATTTTGCTTTTTCACATTATTTTTTTATTTTCAGAACGACTGGGACAGCATGTCAGTGTCACAGATTATGGTTATGATGATGTTGAAGAGTTAACTGTTTCTGAAATTCCTTCTGTCCCTGGGATGAGTGAGAAGTATTTTTTCCTAGAAAAGGGTGGTGGTGCTAGGTATTCTTATTCAGGTGAGTGGACAGCTCTGTCTACAGTAGTCTTACTTCCTTGTCATGGGAAAGATGACAGTGAAACTATCAATCATTAGCTTTTCTTTACTAGAAAAGAATAGTCATAGAATAGTCTTTTCCTTCTAGTGAAGAAATTTCAACACTTAATTACAGCCATTGCATTCTACATTAATAGAGGGTAATATCAACTTCAAATGTTTGGTTACATGGTTTCCCCAAAACAMAATTTTATAGCTCATAGATTTAACTCACATTTCTATTTAAAGACCTCCCAGATTACTTCTCATGATCTGAAAGAGTCCCTATATTTTTTGTCAGAACACATATCTTGTTTTAGGTTTAAAAAATTGAAATAAATCCAAAAAGTTTCTGCAACTCATACAAACATGTCTACATCCAACATGTGGTGGGCAGCAACTCAGGAAACACAGTATGTTTCTCCTTTCAGAAGAATGAAATAGCTGAAACAAGCCAGGAACAGGGAACAGCTCATGTAGGTATATGAGGTTAGAAGGAAGAGACTGTTTTCTCTCATTATTTCAACGGACATATGACATTTTCTTCTAAGACCAGGCTTGCTGCTTATGTTTGGGTATTGGTGGGCAAATGGTAGACTGGGATATGATTTAGCTGCCTTCCTTGGGCATCTGCCAGAGGACCCAAAATGTTTTCATAAATACTTTGTCAAGTAGGGTCTGTTATTTAGATACTGAGGAATCAAGACAAGTCACCTACTGCCTCCATTTTTTAAGGAATCAGACCAGCCTGCTGTGGAAGAGAGTGCTCATAGTTCTTTGTATTCCTCACTGTTATTGACCCATCTCTCTTTTTGACATCAAATCAGATTTTGCACAGAGCCCTCAGAATGAGGCAGCTCTGTCTGGCCTTTCAGACAAGCTCTGGGCCCACATAGGTATTTTGCAGCCACTCTGTACTTGTCTTTCCTTCTATAAGAGGTCTCTACTGCCTTGTCACTAATGAAACTTGGGTTTTCCTTACTGTTTCAGGCACCTCTCCTCAGTCTCCCAGAGAAGCTGTCAACTCTAGCATGGAGGGGAAAGGATCCTCCCTGTTCCTGAGACAAGAAGACCCTGGCTACGATGATATTGAGCTTGCTGCCATTTAGTTCTATTTTTTTTGGAGCAATCAAATCTTCAGAGAACTCGTTGTGATATTGTTTCCCAAAACAAAAGAGAATTCTGTCTTCTTCATTACTGTATAGATTGTACATTTACCTACGATGGAAGAAAATTGTTCATAATAAATGGTTCCATGCATTATCTTTTCACAATCTCTTTAAAAGTGATATTGTACCTGATATGCAGGTGAAGTAAAAAAAAACTTTGCCAAAATATAGTACTAGCTATTCCAGTTATTTCCATCTTAAGTGTTACTCCATATGTATGTATACATATATATATATATAATATTTCCTCAGAAATAATAATATATATGTAAAATATATATGTTCATGAATTTTAACGTCTATTCTACAGTTTTATTATTTTATGCCTTAAATAATCATATATATTTTATTTTTTAACTTTCCACATTTTTAATTGGTGTATTATAGTTGTACATAATGATGGGATTTGTTGTTATATGCTCAAACATTCACACAATATAACAATATAATTTGGCCAATATCATTGCCCAGCCCTTCTCTCTCCCCCCACCTCCTCCTACCCCTTGGTCCCTTTTCCTCTACTGATCTTTGGAGTTTCATTGGATAACCCCTTTATTTTAGTCATATGTATTTTTAAAAAATGTTTATTCTTAAGTTTTAGATGGACACAATATCCTTATTTTACATTTATGTGGTGCTGAGGATAGAACCCAGTGCCTCATGCATGCTAGGTGGGCACTCTACCACTGAGCCACAACCCCAGCCCTTAGTCATATGTATTTTAAAGAAAGTGGAAAAATAAGGACTTTGTTTTTTATGTTTGCTGTTTTTAATTCTTCTAGATCCAGGTTTCCATTTATTGTCATCTCCTTTTAACTTGAAGAATTTTTTTTAGCATTTTTGTAGTGAAAATTTGTTAACAAATTCTCTCATTTAAAAAAAATTAAAAAAAAATTAAAAAAAATTTTATTGGTTCTTTTTAGTTACTCATCCTAAAATGTCTTTATTCTGCCTTCATGTTTGAAGGCTATTTTCACTGTATATACAATTTTGTATTAGTAACTTTTCTTTGCTTTTATCTTAAAATATTTAATTGACAAGGAATATTCAAGGTATACAATGGCATTATTTGATATACATATATGTTATGTAATGATTATTGCAACAAATTACTTAGCACATTTATCACCACTCATAATGTATATTGGATTTCCCAGAACTTTTTCTTCTGATAAGTGAAAATTTGTACCCTTTGGCCATCATTTTCTATTTTCTTTGCCTCTAGTCCCTGGCAACCACCATTCTACTCTCTGTGAGTTTAATTTCTTTAGTTTCACATATAAGTGATATCTAAAGTACTTACCTTTCTTTGGCTTATTTCACTAAACATAATGTCTTCTAGGTTCATCTATGTTACAACAGACATGAAAGAATTTCTTCGATTTTGGGGGCTGAATAGTATGTGTGTGTGTGTGTGTGTGTGTGTGTGTGTGTGTGTATTTCTCTCTCTCTCTCTTTATCTATATCTATATCTATCTATATATTTTCACCTAATTTTTGACAAGGGAACCAAGAATATGCAATAGGGAAAGGAAAATGCCTTTAAGTGAAGATGTTGGAAAAACTAGACATTAGCATACAAAAGAATAAAATTGTGCTCTTGTTTTATACCATAAGCAAAATGTCACTTGAAATGGACTCAAACTTTAAATATAAAGTCTGAAACCCTAAAACTCCTAGAAGAAAACCTAGAGAAAAATCTCCTTGGTTTTGGTCTTGGAGTGATACTTTTGGATCTGACACCAAAACACAGGCAACAAGAGTAACAATAAGCAAGTAGGACGACAACAAGCTGAAATCTCTGCACAGTAGAGAAAACGATAAACAAAATGAAGAAGCAACGTGTAGAGTGGGAGAAAATATTAAAGACAATATATCTGATAAGGGGCTAATATCCCAAATATTATAAGGAAATCATAAAACTCAATACTAAAGTAAATAAATAAAAACAAACCCCCAATTTGTGTTTATCTATGATCTTAGAATTTTTTTTACCTGCCAGTTTTATGCCTTTCTTACTCCTTTTGCTATATTTTCTATCAATCAAATGTCTTAAAAGTTCTCTTTCAGTTTTTTTAGTTTTACATTCTTTTTTCTTTCTTTTTTTTTTGTGGTGCTGGGGATTGAACCCAGGGCCTTGTGCATTCGAGGCAAGCATTCTACCAACTTAGCTATATCCCTAGCCCTATACATTCATTTTTTTTTAATGTGGTGCTGAGGATGGAACCCAGTGCCTGGAATGTGCTAGGTGAGTGTTCTCACAACCCCAGCCCCTATAAATTCTTTTACTATGCTTTCATAATTGTTCTAGATATTGAAATATGCATCTATGGCTTACTGAAGCTTTGTACAAGTTATTGCTTTTATCACTTCACTTAACGTTAAGAACCTTAGTAGACTTTAAAGCCTTTAAATCTAAACTACTTGCTACAGTACCATATGAAGAATATCTAAGAATAGTAAGAATACTTAGCTATATAATGGTTTTCTCAGTTAGAAATGTTGGTGTCCCTCACAGAAGACACATGATGATATATAACCATAATATGGGAAAATTGATTCAATTATTGTTTTTATAGTCTCTCTTGGAAGGAAAATATAAGATAGTTTTATATTTGCATGTATATATACAACAGAAACAATGTGTATATATATATTTATTTGTAAGAGTACATTTTTTTCCAGCTCTGTTCACTGAAAGGATCTATGAGTAATTGAATGCTAATGGCAATAAGCAAACCAAGAGAAAAACTGGTTCATTTTGGTATTGGTTTATGTGTAACATACTTGTAAACATGCTTAATTCTGGAGCACAGAAAAATAAGATGAATCAGGATCATCTCCTTTTGCTCTAAAGTATTAAAGGAGAGAGAATTCTATAATAGTATTGAGGAGCTCCACAGACTCTATCCCCAGAGAAATATTGGAACAGATGAAAACAGTTTCTTATAAAACCATAACAACCATTTAATATTTCTGGATATTATTCTAAGGGCATAAAGCAAATGGAAAAACATTCAAGGAAATAAGAAAGTATGGTCTAATGATCTTGAACTAAAACCCACATCTACTCTTCATCAAAGTATAATGGAAGTTGGTGAATGCAGCTGAGAATACCAGGCCCTCCCTCTGCCATACTCTCATCATGTATTGCAGTGTCTCCCCAGGTTGGGTGGGCTATCGTAATTTCTTATCCCCTCCAGCTAGCTCAGAGGTTGAAGTTCCATGCTGAAAAAAAAACAAGAAAGGACAAGATACTGCAATTGCCCAGTATCTTGGTTATAAGGGAGGAGTCTAAGCCCAAGGTAATTGGTTTTTACTCCCATCAGTGGCAAGTGCTGCATAGGGGTTTTGTTCTATAAGAATAGATTCATAGTTGGCCCTGGGATAACTAACTCTGTTTGGAACAGAATGTGAAGACAAGTGGGACCATACAAAAATAAAGAGCTTTTACACAGGAAAGAGAACAGTACACAAAAGAAAAAGCAACCCACACAGTGGGAGAAAATATTTGCAAACCATATATCTGATAAAAGGTTAATATTCAAAATATATTGGTTGTTCTCCAAAACAGTAGATATATTTTTTTCTTGGTAAGAAATTAAGAGGATGCTGTAGTTTTACAAGAACAACAAGCTAACCATAGTTCAGCTAGAGATTAACCAAGGAAAACAGGGCAATAGATAACCAAAATGAGCACTCTTGGTGTCAAAGCAAGTCTGAAAAAATGGTGCAAAGATGACTGTTTCAAATTTAATTGGATCAGATGGTGGAGATATTTATAACCCAGGACTTTACTGTGACCTAGACCAAATTTAAATTTTTGCTATATTTACTATTCTCCAGTTCAAAATTTTGTTTTTAAAGCTCTCAAGAAATATTTTACCTTCTTATTTTCTTATAAGTACTCTTGCTATTGAGAAGTTTAGAATCAACCTGATTTTTCTTGGCATTTAATGTTCCCTTTTCTCTGGAAATTTTACCTTGCTATTTTAAAAATTTCTCTATATTTACCTCAACTTATTATTTTCATTTATCTTACTTGAGAGGCAATCTACAAGTATTTTTTTGGTTCTTAAATGGGATGTTTTTTATATGTCATCTATTCCTAACAAAATGGTGAACTAATATAACTGACTTTAGGTGTGTGTGTGTGTGTGTGTGTGTGTATGTGTGTGTATATATCTGTGAAATTCCCATCTATCAGTTCTTCAAATTTCCTTTTTTTCAGGTTTATGTTTCTTCCCTTCTGGGGATCCTGATAAGTAGATGCTATCTCTATGTTCTTTAGCACTTCATTGATATTTTCTACCTCTATTATTTTCTCTGGCCTTCTTGGTAGATTTATAGTTCAAAGCACCAATTTGTTCTTCAGTCTATCTATTGTACCTTTTTTCACTGTTTAGCTTCTCAACTTAGTAATCTTTGTATTTCCCTGAGTCACAACATAGAAAGTAGTATAGGTTGCTGCCACAAATTTCTGTAGCTATAGCACAAGTAATAAAATGAATTAGGGAAATGCAAGATCAGAACTTTCATTGTCTCCCCTACAGCCCTCTTCCAAGCTTGATGCCCTCCTCCAACCCAGCTACACTCTCTGCTCTCTCACTTGCCAGGTTAGAGTAGGCTTCAGTCCACCCAAGAAGAGACTCGCCCTGATAGGCCTTGGATACCTATTCCCATATCACTACTATTTCTCTAGAGTTGATTTTGGGAGTGGTCAGCCCCTGTTAGTTTAGCATTTTGTAAGAAATAGGGAGGCATGGCATATAAAACACCCTATCCAATTTAAGAAGATGTTTAGAGAACATGCTATAAGTTGTTGTCATTTTGTGAGCCAAACTACATGAAATATTATTAATTATTATATCAAATTGAAATTTCTCAAGTTAAATGCCCMTTTATCTCTATGATTGATCAATGGTGAAATTACTAGTTTA